AGGAGGATGTGGGCTGGTGCATAATCACAGTGGTCAGACACATCTCTCTCCCTCTTGTTTTTGTATAATGGACTGCTAATTAGGTCCCCCCGTTTTGAGCGGCCCATGGCTTTTGCCCAATGTCCAGATGGCCCATCCGTGACTGCATGAAAGCCTTTACAGCTAACAAAAGCTGGCTCATCAGATCCACTTGGCACTTTAATTGGAAAGAGCGACCATAAACAAGTTCAATTACCCCCCAGCATTCTCTCTGTCTCCCTTCTTCTCCCTGTGGAAAATATATATATAAACATATATATCTTGTTTGACACCTGCATGGGGGAATTCAGACTACAAGTCCCCCTTAGCCAAAAAAATGAAGTGCATTTGTGATCAGTATGACCACTGGCAGAGACCCATGCCTCCTTGTAGGCCCCTCAGGAGCCAGACATACGCTGGAATAAATGCAGAAGATTACAGATTGGATCTTTGATAGATTTAATTTTCATATTATATGACATTGGTATGATATACCACTCTGGATACATTTCCATAAAGTTGTGTACCATTGCACCTTTCCAGATACAGGTCCTTTTTGTTCAATGTAGCACGTTGATCGTATAAGCAGTCAATATGTGCCCACTAATACATGGTCAAAGAATATTAAAAGCGTCATTATTTGCCTTTCAGTTGTTCAGATCAGTTCATGATATTTTGGGGTAATTTTTATTTTTTGTTATTTCAGTACATACATAAACAAATAATCACCAAGCACATTTTTGGTTAAAGCTGCAGTAGGTTTTTATTTTTTATTTTTTTTAAATGTGGTCATGTTTGCTGAAACTTTTACTATATTATGGCAGTAGTACATGAGACAGATCATATTGTAAATCAGATTGTTGAGTATCAAAGTTAATTACCTTCAAGCTTCCAACCCAAACCATCTTATCTTTCTCAGCTCTGACTTGTTGATTTTGTTCAGGCCCGGTGGATTCTTCCAAATACCATTAAGAGGACTAGGAGGAGTCAGAGGAACCGGATTTTTTCACAGATTTTCTGTGCTTGTTGTGCACATGGATCAGTACAGCAGTTAAAAAAAAACTTGTACTATACCACTGTAGTACAACCTAAATGTAAGGTTTTATTATGAGAAAAAACTGAAATTAACTCCATGAAGGCTCATTACTTTGATTGCTGTTACACATAATTCAATCATTTCTCTTTGTCCTGCCACATTATTGACTGTCCTCTGCAGTGTTTGTTCTCCAACACTCTAATTTCACACTAATAACACACACTGTTTGCCAACAATAATTGATTCATCAGTAGCTCCCAGCAGTGGATCTGGCCCTTTTTAGATAACCCTGCTGGGTTCCCGTTAGCCCCTATATCACTGCATTACTCTGTTCCAATTTAAACATTCATATAACTCATACACGGTGGTGGACTCAGGCTGTTTGAGGGGCAAAAAAAAAAAATTAAGTTACATGTGGTGTGGATTTTTGGTGAAACAGTTAAAAACTCTTGGTAAGATTAAACTAGTTTTATTATGCAAGTACTCACAAAGGAACAATTTATTTATTATTGTATTGTTTATTTGTATAAGGACAATTAAACAAATGCCACACACTACAGCATTTATAACATATTAATCTAATTTGCAAGGCCTGTCCCTAGATGGGCCTTTAAAAGACATAAAACAATAAGTACATGCATTAAAAAAACACAGAATTCTATCAACTAGTCCAATGGTGCTGATGCAGTACAGTGAAGCATTCTACACAAGACAAGGTAATAACAGTTAAAATTATTACTAGCTACTAGTGTTGTGATTTTTACTCCAAATATTTGATTTATTACTTGTTACTCTTTTTAAAAGTTATATTCTTACTTTACTTTTTACTCCTTGCCAACAGAAATTAGTTACACAACTAGTTTTATTACTTTTCTGCTACATCTCATGAAATTGGTAATTGTTGCCTTTCTCCCCAAATTTTAGACTTACAACGATTTCACAAATTATCTGTCTCATGTACTTATGTCAGAATATAATGAAAGTTTGAGCAATAATGGCAAAAAATAATTTTCATAAAAGTTACCTCAAAAGGGGAGTTCACATCATGATTGACAGCTGAGCCCGGATTGTGTCGGTTGGGGGTATTCACAGCCACCACACACTTGTGCATGTTGAGTCACCCACACTTCCCTCCACTTCTGTTTGTTCTGCACTGCAGTCCACAAGACCTCTGTATTTTCAAATTGATTCCAATTGATTAGCAAGTTAACACTTTTGGGAATACTCCTATAAGTGAATTCAGCTCACATAATGCTGCAAATGAAGCTGTTGTGCAGTATTGATTTTGCCCTCTCATGCTGTGCACACTGCCGTTTTATGGTGAGGGAGTTGGAATGGTAATTGACCGGCCCCTAGTACAGAGCCCATGCTTCTCCCTGTGGAAACACTTTTTCTTCTTGCCTGTCAGACAGACTGTTGTCCAGGTGATATCCTTTGTCTGGGTGTGTATCGACCCGTTTGTGCGTTGTTCGGTCTAATTAAACAGCATTGGCTTTTTAAGCTATGTGTTTTGTCTCATGTGGATAGTGTATGATCACCTTGTGTCACAGCTGTCACCTCTTAAGCTCAAGTCAGACCACTGACTAGACGAGTACCTGTTTTTTAGTGCATCAGATTTTGTTTCAGCTATCCATCATGAGTCCAGTGTTATATGAGTGCAATGCTAAATCAGTAAAGGGCTTTTTTAAAGAGAAATTACATTTTTCAAACAAAGTTGAGCTTTTTATTGGTATTCCTATTGCCAACAAATGCACAAGATATAATAACATTTTCCTTCAATTGTTACCTCCAAATAAAGTGATTGGATCCTCTTGGATCCTTCTGTCTCAACCAGTTGGGGTAAGAGAGAGAGAGA